GATGCATACACACTCTTCACTCATGAGGATCTTCTCTGGATACCACTCATAGCTACATACTAACCCACTACTACTAATGATAACTTGCTGGGCAGCTATGGCTGCATCACTTCCAGCATACAGGCTTCTCCCTTCACTCAGCGCATCTTCTCCTTCCAGCGCTGCTCCTACTGGCTCAACGCACAAGTGCACCAGCACTTCCACGCATAGAATGTCAGTGGAGATCTGCTAAGAATGAGGATGGCTGCCTCCTTTATACTCCTCGCTGGGTCTGCATTGGCTCAATCCATCCTTCCTTTTGTCCCAGACCCTGCATTGCATGTGTCCCAGTAGAGTCCCAATGAAGTTCAACTGCTGCTGAGGCCTCCCGGCCTGAATTTGGACTTGAAAGTCTGGATCTGGACTGACCCCTGGACTTAGACCAGAACTGGGACTGTGCCTATTGACTTTACTTTCGGACAGGCACAACTCTCAACGAACAGACACATTTACTGCTTGAATAGACACTTTACTTTGCACGAACAGGTACACTGCCTGCACGTACAGACACACTCTTACCCGAACAGACATGMCATACACATCTCCTGGTGAACAGGTAAGTCTTTTGACAATGCCCTTTGCCTTAGCTTTAGATATGCCTGTTGATAGAGAACTTTGACCTTTGACCTGCTTTCACGTTTCTGAGCTCTGRCGAGATACCTTTTCACAATGCTTTACTTTTTCAAGGCCCGTGCTGCTTTATTTTTACAAGGYCTGAGGCCTATATCGGGTAAAGGCCCTTTTACTCTCGCCGGCCTAAATTCGAAGTCCTCTGAGAATCATTTACCTATCAAGGATATGAATTCCTCTYTTTGCACTYTCGTATGTAGATACAATATGAGGTGCAGATTCTAACAGTTCTTCTTTTGTGAACCAGCGATCTTCACTAGGATCCTGGTATGCAAATCTCACCTTATACTGTCGTTGTGGTCTGCCCCTACRTCCRGTGTGGTAAGTACTTTCKGCAACAATCTTATCCACGTCATACTTCTCATCCATACTTGGAGGTATCGCTGATCGGCGACTTGGGAAGAGCTCATTCRTTACACAAGGTAAGAGCTTGGACGCATGGAACACTGGATATGTACGTAGATGAGGAGGAATTTCAATGACATATGAAGGACCATCCACATCTCCAATTACGTCTAGAACCTGCCAAGGCCCTCTGTAAGTCTGAGAAATGTTCTCTTCAAGAGCAAACTCTTTAGACTTTACCCAAACCAAATCTCCTACAGCAAATTGAGATGGGCGCCTATGTTTATTTGCCTGTTCAATCATTTGATGTTGTGCTTTAAGTATATTTTCCTTTACTTTCTCAATGTCTTTCTGATATTGGACTGCAAATTCACTAGTCCCTATAGGAAGCTTATGTACTTGATCCGGGTTCAACCGATCAATGGGTCTGCGTGGACGTCATCCCAGATGTAACTCCATAGGAGTCTTACATGTAGATAGATGCACAGAGTTATTATAGGCACTGACAACTTTAGGCAGATGTTCATCCCAGTCAATCTGATCAGGACGGATGTACATGCGTAAAGTTTGCTGCAAAATCTTGTTCATCTGCTCAGTCTGGCCATTAGTCTCAGGATGTCTGCCTGATGACATCGTCAACTTAGAGCCATAAACATTCATCAGTTGCTGCCATTGTTCACTCGTGAACCTGGTATCTCTATCACTCACAATAGTTAAGGGATGTCCAAAGTCTTTTACCCAATGGTTAAAGAATTCCCGAATTACCAATTCAGTCTTTGCTTCCGCAGGTAAAGCTACAAAAACARCATACTTAGTGAATCTATCCACTATGACCATTACTTGCGTTTTCCCATTCCTGCTTTTGACCTTAGTATCCATAAAATCTATAGAGACAGAGTTTCCAGGGCCGGTAGGGATAGGTAAGGACTTAAGTAGCCCGAGGGGCGATTGCGTGGTGCTTTTGTTTCGTTGACACACTTGGCAACCCTGCACATACACGATACAGTCTGCTTTCATTCGAGGCCAGGTGTAGGAACGCAACAACGTTCCGTCGGTCTTCTTCCATCCAAAATAACCTTCTGTATCATGGCATTTCCCCAAGATCATACTTTTGATTTCTTCATTATTGGGTATACACAGCCTATCATTTACATCAGTTCGTTCAAACAATAGACCCTGAGTTACTTTATGATCGGGAAACTCTGCTGGCTTTTCTTGCACTAGCTTAATCATGGGTCCATATATAGAATCAGAGGAATACGCATTCCTAATCTTCTCCTGTAGGTCAGTGCCCACATCTAAATAAGTCACAATAGCACCGAAAAAGTCTGATCTACGACTTAGTGCATCAGCAACAACATTATATTTACCCTTTACTGGCTTCAA